GGTATTTACCAAGAAAAAAAAACAATTGTGTAAATCATAGAATCTCACATTAATAAAGTTAACCTTTTGTAAAATTAAAGTTTTAGAAATGAATTTCACTTTAAATAAGCCATAAAGAAACATAAACCCTACAAATAGCAACAGTGTGTGCACACTTGCCAATTGAATAGGATCTAAGCTCATTGTTTAATTTTGTTATGGAAGGAACCCCCACGACCCCCTTATTGGGGGGGGGGGGGGGGGGCTATGTTATGATTTGTGTCTGTGTTAATGTTTTATTTTAGTTTTCTGTCTTTTCATCTGCTTTCTTCCTCCTGTCTGCCTGTGTTCCAGCCCCGCCCACTCACACCTGATCCTCATGTTTCTCCCCCAGGTGTTTCCTGTTTGTACTCATTAGTTTCTCCGTAATATTCTGTTCTCTGTCTTCAGTCTTTGTCAGATCTTTGTTCTCTGTTGTGTTGTTCCTGTTCCTGCCATTTTCTCAAGCTAAACCTTAGTATCTTGTTTGCTGCCACACCAGCTTTTTGTTTAATAAAGCCCTTTTGCACTTTTTTTTGCCAAGATCATTTCAGTTCTGCACTTGGGGTTCTAACCAACCTAGCCCTTCATAACAAAATTAGCTTAACATTGATGTGTCTGAGGATGACTGGAGGTATCTTACCAGCTGAAACGTTATCTCTGTCATCACTGCAGTTCTTTAGAAAATGTACTTTCTGGTCCGAAGGTAAAGTTCAGTTGTATCCTGAGTTGCAATTTTCCAAAACCGATATTGTGTAATGTTGCTACTTTTTTGTTATTATTACAACAAAGTATGCTATGACGCTCCAGGTTGTAAATGACACAAAACTGTTGCGATGACATGCGGAAATGGGCGTGATGGAAGCAGTAGGAGGTTTTTTAAGAGACAGAGGCCAATTTTAAGGGGTTTAGAAATGGCTGTGATGTGAAGTCAAGTTTATTTTTGATTTATATGTATAAACAGCATTTTGAAAACAACTGAAGGTAGTTACTTTATTATGCTTTAGAACTGAACTATATGCCTGAGAAACACATAGCATTGGCCCTTTAAGAAATGATTGGTTTAAGTTGTGTTGCAAAATGTTGCAATGATCTAAACAAGATTTTCTAAATGCACAAGTGACCCCTCCTGAAATTTTTTTAGAAAAGACAGGGCTGGACCTTAGCAAGAGACCTTGGATGAAATAAATACATTTTTTAATTACAGAGTTTATCTGTTTGGCTAACTATCAAAAATTGTCTCTAGAATTCTATCAGAAGCACAACAGTCAGAAGATAGAGGCTCAAGGACACTATCTGCTGAGATTGGGAGTGTTGTGTGGCCAACTCTATTTATTTTTGGAGAGAGGTAAATTTGAATGTCATCTGCAAACAGTGAAAGGTGCTTTTTACACTTATTAAAGTGTAACTTACCCCCCTGTGAAAAGATAACTCCGCCCCAAGGCGAAATTTGAAAAATGCATCAAAGTGGGTAGGGGAGGGGGTGTGGGTGGAGGAAGTGGAAGGGGGGTTAGAGAGCGGAGGTGTGGCCAGGTCGAGAGA